TATGTCTCGCTAAGTGGGGAGAAATCTGGGAATATACAAAAGTATGACTGGAGGTTCCTATTTGATAATTGTGCAGCGTAGTTTTGTGTTTTATTTGGAATTTGTTTTTCCCTTGCTCTCAGTTTCATGTTTCAAATACAATTGGAACTGGTTTCTGCCTGATGTGATTTCCAAGTATCTGTTCTAGATGTTCCTGTTCAGGGAAATGCATTTTGGCTGATTTTGTGGCAGATAATTTTTTTTTCATTTTATGCTGGAAGTTTCAGAAGTAGGAAAAATCGTCTTAATTTGATGGTTCGTGTTACAATTAAAAAAGAACGATTGAGCTTGAGTTGAATAGAGTAGGAACTACCAAAAGGAACTTGTAATAACAACTGCAGATGTATATTTAGTGAAAAATACTTAAAGGCTGTGTGGTATAATGACACTACCACAGACTGATGGGATTCGTCAGCCCGTCTGGTAGGTGACTTCCGTGCGGAGGCCTCTGGAATGCAGAGGACTTGTTGGACAAGGATGGCATCACACGCTGCCATTTCTCCACTGCCAGACCTTAAATTGCTTTAAATGCTGCTGTCAATAATACTGTCGTTTTTAAGTTGTTAAAACTGCAGTTGTACCACAGATGGTGTGTGTATGTGGATGCATAAATGGATGTATAGACATTCCAGGTCCATTTGGTTTTCTCAACTGTTCATCAAAAGCCCTGTCTGATGGCGTTTTGATGTGGTGGTCTTTGTAATTCATTCTCCTTTGTAATTCTCTCCCCTTTTGTTGCTGGGAAAAGGACTATTTACTCAACACATAGTAAGCTGCAATCCGTCCGCTGTCCAGACCTCCTCCTGGTAGAGGGTACCACTGTTAAGGCTTGTGTTAGCGACTTGGAAACCTGTAGTAATGACGTGGTAACCCTGAAAAACATCTATGCAAATAATTTTCTGAGACTTTGCTTTTTTTTACACTGAACGTGCTAGCAGTGTGTAAGAAATCTTCTGGTTTTACACTCATTGAGTGACTGCAGAACCATTGGACTGTCTTTTATTATTCATATCATACCTTACACCGGCTGGGGAAAAAAGCATGTACAACAACCTTTGAAAAGGCTGTGGTGAGAGGTATCAGAAGAGTCCAAATGGCATTTCATGTCACTCTCCTTGGGTGGGCTCAAAGCTAAAATGAAGACTCATGAAAGGTGTTAGTACCCGTATTCTACCTGCATCATTCTTGTCTTTGTGGAGTGATGATTAAAACCAATGCAGAACTGTCGCTCGAATTAGAATTTTATAAGGACCCTGCAGTCTGATCGTGCTAAAACTCCTCCAAATGTATAACAAATAAAGTGAGGATGTTGAGGAAACTAACAAAAAATATTTCTAAACTTTGGTTTTTAAATTCAATTTGAAGAGTGAGTGCCATTTCATACTTAATTCAGTCACTAGAGTAGATGCCTGTGACGTTCTTTGAGCATCTAAATTCTTATAATATCTAGATGATTGCAGAGATTTGTTTTTGAATGAAAAAGCAGACTGAATTTCTAAACTGAAGTGATAAAATTTGTCCTTTTGCCTACGGCCCTTCCTTCCTGTCTCAGTAGTGGGATGACTGGTAGTAGTCCTTAACCCAGTATGATTATATCGAACAGTATTTTGTGGTGGTATCTGTCAATTGCTGCTTGTCATATTACAACATCATATCATGATGGCTATATCATATTTAAAACATGTATCAGAATATTTAAAAAAAAAAGTCCTGATATCTTCCCTGTGTTCTATGACAGTTTTTTAACATACGAGCAGGTTTTTTTTATATAGCTGCACAGTAGTTTAAGCATTGAGTTGAACTCAATTTTGTTTCAATTTGGTGTATGTTTGACTCCCC